CTTTGCAGAGCTCATATCTCTCGTAACTACCGACTAAAGTCAAGCAGACGCAACAACAACGGTGGGCAAACGATCCGCCTTGTGCCTACTACTACTACTACTACTACTACTACTACCACTACTACTACTACCACTAGTACTACTACTACTACTACTACTACTACGACTACTACTACTACTACTACTACTACTACTACTACTACCACTAGTACTACCACTACTACTACTAAAAAATAAAAATGATAATAGTACTTCTGCTACCACGACTACGACGACGACGAATAATATTACCACCACTGCTACAACTACTGGGGCGACTACTACGACGACGACTAATCTTGACGGCCGAAGCGACCCCTACATCCGAGAACCACTTCACATGCTGCTGTCACCAACACTACGGCAATCTGGCTTTGCACGCATGACACCACGATTGACGCTAGGAAGGCCAGCCTGAACTCTGTAACAAACACCATAAATAAACACCTGAATGCTCTAATGTATAAAACATAATCTGTAATATGCAGTCAGTAATGTGTAATAGAAGGGAATGGTCTTTCGATTATCTGCGCCGGCCCAGTTCACACGACTCCCCCATGCAGCATGTAATATAAAAACACTGAAAGCACAACCTGAGGCCGAGCACCTGCCCACAATGTTGCGGGACCACACACGCAGCTGGCTGACCTGAATGCAGGGCCCAGAATCAAGCGTCATACGTTTTCTTGGTGGCTCTGGGAGTTGCCTTAGCTCAGAGCAGCGCTCAAACCAAATGCCTGAAGTCAAGAAGGACTAAGTAGACCTGAACTATGCCCTCCTAACTCCCTACACCCTAAACCCCAATGCAAAGCCCTTATCGAATTCAACATCTGACCCATAAACCCCCCTAAACCCCCTAAAACCCTAAACTTTCTACTCAACAAAAGACTCAAAAACCCTAAACTTTCTATTCTTTCTAAACAACAAAAGGCCCAAGCCCAGGCAGACCAGGCCTGGTCACTGGGTAGGGCCACCTCGACCTTGCCGTGCAACTCAGTGTTCTTCTTGGGGTGTTTATACACACACATCTTTATAAGATAAATCAAGACTGACAGTAATACTAATAACAATATCCAATAGTATTTTTGACAACAGTCACAACAATAAGAATCGCACACTAGTAAGCGCAACAAAAGCCTACAGGCTCAGGGCTCCCCGGGCTCAGGGGAAGCGGAGGGCCTGCACCACGCGCGGGGGTCCGCCACCCAGGTCATCCCAGTCCTGGAGCCCGAAAAAGCAAGAAAAGCTTAGGGCTACTATTAGGGGTTAATGATAAGGGTAGGGTTTAGGGTTTAGGGTTTAGGGTTACTATTAGGGNNCTACCCATGAACCTCCAAGTATCAGGGTGAATTACTACAAGGGTGACTCTAAGGGATACTAGAGGGGCTATTACGAAGGTTACTGTAGAGGATGCTACAAAGGATACTATAATGCTTGCTACTATAAGTACTACATACACCAAGAGGAAGTTAATATCGGGGGCTCATGAGTTAGGAGAGGGTTCCTGGAAGAGTGAAACAGGTAGTTCTAGAAGTGTTCGTGTAGGGACCATCAACATAGTACTCCCATGCCAAGACAAGCTCTGGGTCACTATAAGGGTTTTCTACTGTATGAGGGTTTATGGGTTGTTTATTTTAGGGGTTCAAGGAAGTTTGGGCTTGGCCCAAGAAAATTCAACTCTCGGGATTTCAGGTAGGTGTTGGATGCTTCAGAGGGTGTAAGGGTGTACATATTATATAATTTAGCGTCTAGAGGATTCCCTGAACCTTCGACTGAAGCTTTGACGAGGAGTGCATACCAATTGCAATGACACAATAGGTCGCCAACAGTTTTGTCTTTTTTCGGCAGGGTTTCCAGAGGCTCGACACCCTAAACCCTCAACGCAAAGCCTTAAGGCACGCGGTCCCAGCTCGCTGTGGCCGCAGTGGAGGTGCTTGGAATGTCTCTCCAGGTGACCTCGGGCTTCAGGATGATGGGTTCAGGGGTTGAGGGGTTAGGAGGATTTAAGGCTTCAGGGATTTTGAGTTTGGGGTTTAGGGTACAGAAAGGGACTTGGGGCAAAGAGTCCTGCGATACACTCGGAGTTTCAACTCCGGTGTACTGCGGGCTCCATCGAAAAATGACCTTCCCTTGCGTTTCACCGGTCACGCTACGGCCGCTTGAAGAACCAGGAGCATGTGGGTAGTTCTCTAAATCAGGGTCCCTTTTTTGGGGTCCCCCATAGAGTACGGCACCCATATGAACGGGACCCCAAAAAGGGACCCTAATTTAGAGAACTACCCCATGTCGCGATGTTTGATGTCCTCTATCTCAAGCACTCGAATCCTGAGATGTGCATCCTCAGCATTTCTACGCCCAAGATCAGCCAAGCAACCACCCCCAAAGCCTGAACCCCTAAACTCTCAACCCCTCAACCCTAAACCTTAAACCCCTCCACCCCTCAACCCTAAACCTTAAACCCCTAAACCCCTCCACCCTAAACCCCTCAACCCTCAACCCTAAACTCCTCACCTAAGTGCCCCCTGCAAGGAAGCTTGTGCTCACGAGTTCAACTCCAGGGCTGCCGGGGCCCGGGCCTGCCCGCAGAGCTGCACCTCTGGGCTTCGTGGTTCAGGTCAGTTTCGGGGTTAGGGCTTTTGGGGTTTTTGGGATTTTAGGCTTTAGGGTTTGGGGCTGTAGGGCTTTAGGGTTGTTTTAGGGTTTAGGGCTGTTGGGTCTGGGGTGCGTGCAGGCTTTAGGTTGGTGCGGAGGTCGTGAGGGGACGGGTTTGCAAGGCCTTTTGGCATGCTCTTCACCGAAGTACTTTCCCGCCAGTGTCAAAAGTCAGGATTCCCTTAGTCACCCCTAAACCCTAAACCCTAAACCCCAAAGACCTTAAACTACAACGGACTCCAGACTCTGCCCTGGGGGCATGTTGCTCAACACAGCACGCTATAAGACCCTTCTACAGACCCTGTAAAAACCCTAAGGGTACCTCTGCAGCTGCTTTTTTCAGACCTTCTAGAACCTTTCTAGTACTGTAGCCCCTAATAGCCCTTATAGGTAGCCTTTATAGCAACCCCAACAGCCCAAAAGTAACGCTTATAGCAATCGTTGTAGTAGCCTTCTGGTAGCCCTTCTAGTAACCCTTGTGGTACGGGGTCAAAGAGACCCTGAACGATATAAACCCCAACCCCAAAACCCAAAACCCCTAAATGCCAAAACTACAAAACCCGAAAACCCTAAACCTTTGTAGTAACCGCCAGCCTCCAGCCCTAAACCCCGAAACCCAAAACCCCAAAACCCCTAAATGCCAAAACTACCCTAAACCTTTGTAGTAACCCCCAGCCTCCAACCCTAAACCCCAAAACCCCAAACCCCCCAAAACCCCAAAAACCCAAACTCAAAACCCCACAAACCCCCAAAACCTTTGTAGTAGCCCCCGGCCTCCAGGCTGGTGACCGGAGCGCCCTCGGGGTCTGCCAGGGAGCACTCCAAGATCACTCGGCCGGGATGCCTGGGTTCCAGGGTGGAGTTTGGGAGGTTTGTGGGGTTTGGGGTGTTTGGGGTTTTTGTTGTTTAGGGGTTTGGGGTTTAGGGTTTGGGGTTCAGAGTGGAGTTGGGGGGTTTGGGTTTTTTTTGTTTAAGGGTTTGGGGTTTAGGGTGTGGGGTTCAGGGTGAAGGGTTTAGATTTAGGGCTGGGCTTTTACGTGAATTTCTCTACAGACTTCTGCAAGGATTTGGGGGTTGGCGTACCGGGTTCATGGTGTAGGGCTCAGTTCCTTCCATTAAGGTCAAGCGCCCCCTTTCAGGGTTCTGGGACTTAGGATGTTCTAAGCGTTGGGTTCTTATTCTGGTTTCATAGGCTAAGCGCGGGTAGCTTGCGGTTTATGAGGGGATGTGTAAGTATAAGCGCTCTAGATAGTTTTATAGTGGTTTAGGGTTCAGGGTTTTGAGTTCGGGCTCGGGGTGAAAAAGATTTGATTTGCCTTCAAGCCCCAAGACCCAAGCCGCGAAACCTAACAACCTTCAACCCCAAACACCCAGCTCCTTACCCTAAGCCCTAAGCCCTAAGCCTAAACCCAAAACCCTTCTAGGGCACGCAGAGTTGCTCTTATAGATCCCTGAAGGGAGCCCTTAACGCAGATCCTTGAAGTCCTTTGTGGCTGTATTGGAGCCGCTGGGGATGCCTTAAAAACCCTTATGAGAGCTCTGAGAAGTAGCCTCGAAGAACCCTGAAGAGGATTGCCTCAAAGCGATCGCTTAAAGGAAACCTTAGAGGACTCCTCTAACGGATGCCTTACAGGAACCCCTACAGGAATCCCCCTAAGAATTCTTTAAGGGAATTCTCTGAGGATGCCTTCACGGATCCCTTTTTTATGAATCCCTTTTTCAGGATCCTCTAAGGATGCCTTCACGGATCCCGTTTTCAGGATCCCTTTTTCAGGATGGAGCCCTGTTTCAGGATCCCTTTAGCGTCCCTGAAATCGGTCCCCCTAAACCCTAAATCCAAAGCCCTAAACCCTAAACCCTAAACCCTGAACCCCTAAACCCTAAACCCTAAACCCTAAACCCTAACGGTCCTTAAACCCCCGGAGCCTGGCCGCCAGACGGAGATCCGAAGGTGCCGCGGCGCTCTCGGAGGTGCGGCCGAAGGCTTCCGCCGAGAAGTCCTCGCTTCATAGGTTTAGGGTGTAGGGTTTAGGGAGAGGGCCGCTTTAAAGGGGTTCCTTAAGGGCTCCATGGTCTACTGCAAACGATGCTTTTAGGGTTTCGAGTTTTGGGTTCCGTGAGGAAAAGGGTTTAGGGTTTTAGGGATCCCTTCTTAAGGATGACCACAGGGGTTTCTAGGAGGAGTACTTTGAGGGCTTCCCTAAATCCGAGTCGAAGGATTCTATAAAGAGGTTTGATCATGGTTTATGAGGTCTTCTACTACAGGGTCTAGGGTTTAGGCCATTGGTTGTCTTCTAGGCTTTCCACGGCTTGGAAGCCTCAAGGCGGTGTATAGAGGAATACGACTACATGTTGTCTTGAGGCTCCAACATTCCGCGTTCCAAGAGGCTTTTAGAGTTTCAGGGGCTTTCTGTGCGTACGGGTGCTGTTCCTGCGGTTTTGCTTTTCGGGCAGCATACTGACCTGGCTCTTAGGCTTCTGAGTAAAAAGCTTGAGACCCTATGGCAAGTCTAAGTTTAAGGTGTAGTGTGTCTGCCAGGTGCGAGAACATCTTTCCAAGCACTAAGACGTCCGATCGGCGAACCAGCACTCAGCGATAGACTGTGTATAAATGAACAGCAGTAGCAAAGCTGTCACCAAGACAGTTCTGCTGCTGCGTACTAGTGCGAAGATGGTTGAGCTGATTGCAGTTGTCTTCTGGACATGGAACTAAGTGGCAACTGCTGCTGCCAGCAACAAAAACAACCGGAAATTGATCACGGAAAGTAAATGGTAGTGATTGTAGTAAGCACGACTAGTCGGAGTAGAAAGAACAAGAATAACCAATAGCAGCAGTAGTACTACTGGCAACAAGATGATAGGAACCCTTGTAGCCCATGTAATATAGGGGCCTTCATAATCAAAAGAAGGTTTTGGTTATATGATACTACAACTCTAATGCTGAACACCTAAAATGGTATTGGTAATCATCTAGGCCCCTACATTACCTGAGTTAGCAATTACTGACAGTCGTTGCCCCTGAGGTCGCTATATAGGACTCTCTTTAGGGGTTTAGGGTTTAGGGTTATAGGGTTTAGGGTTTAGGGTATAAAGTATAGAGATACTGCATGGGTACATGTACCCTCTTAGGCCTTAGGCTAAACATGCTCAAAGTGTCTGAGAGCCACCCTCCACCCGAAACCCTACACCCCAAGCCCTTGACCCTACATCCTAAAACCTTAGCCACAAGCCCTGAATCTCTAAACCCTAAGAAAAACCAGGTACCGTTGTAGTAACATGTCGTAACCCCTAGAGATCCCTGAAAGGAACCCTTGCAGTATAGCCCTTGTAGTAGCCCTTTTTAGGAACCTTTCACAGAGCCTCCAAGGGAACCCTAAACCGATAAGTCCTAAACCCTCAAGCCGAATCCCGGTAGTACCCTTATAGTAACCTTACTTGGAGGTTCATGGGTAGTTGTAGGTGGGATTATAAGTAGGGTAATTATCATTATAAGCCATATTAAAGGACTTATAACTCCACTTATAACTACCCATGAACCTCCAAGTAGTACCCTTGTATTAACCTTATATAGATCCCTTAAAGTCTTTCAAGGAGCCCCAAACCGAAAAGACCAGAAAACTCGAGGAAGCCTCGGCCCAGCCCACGGCGTTTCGAAAGCGCGCTCGGAGCCGATAGTCGCTGCACCTCGGCAGACGTGGGGGGGGGGGGGAAACCCAGTATACTATACTATAATTATAACCAGGTTTTACTCTACTATCATTATCATAAGGATTTTTTTGGCAAGTGTAATGGCGCCCCTTTCTGCGAGAAGCTCCAGCCTTCACAGGCATACAGTAGAGCGTTTAGCGCTTTGGGTTTGTATAACCCCTGACCTGGGTCCCTGACCTGGGTTAAGTTCTTAGGCTCTAGGCGTTAGGGTTCAGGATGTTGTTCTTTATGTTCTTCTGTGGGCCTTGATCCACCTGTTGTCCACTCAGCAGATCGAAAGCCTCATGAAGTTCATGACTTTGGGGCTGTGGGTTTGAGGTTGAATGGATTATGATATCGAGGTTTCAGTAGGGGCAGTAGCCTACTAGTCTAGAGGCCCAGTCACCGATATAATGGGCTACTGCTGACTATCCCACAAAACCCCTTTGTACAGCCCTTTGTCACAGCCTCTGAGGGTCTCTAGAAAACCTTATCAATTGCATCCCTGAAAGACCTGCTAAAGCCTCGTAGCATCGGAACCCAGCTTTCAAAACAGTCCGCAAATCCTAAAAACTCCTATCCCCTCAACCCCAAAGGCGATTCCATCTCCTTAAACCCCAAAGGCGATTCCATCTCTCTAAACCTCAAAGGCGATTCCATCTCCGACATTTTGGGCTCCCCGGTGCTGCCCGGATACGATGCGAGATCGCCAAGTAGGACTTCGCAGACCTGGACACCCTCAACTGCCCTAAACCCTGTTGATTTGGGGCTTAAGGCTTGAAGGGTGAGGGTTCAGGTTGTAGGAGTTAAGGCTGAACGGTTTACGGTTTAGGTCTTCAGGGTTTCAGGATTTGTGTTGTTGGGGCCTTAATTGTAGGGTCTATTCGCTGTAATGCAAGTTCCATCTCCCTCTCGCATTTAGACTGGGACAGTCTCCTTACAAGAACTCAACACCGCAGAACCTTTCAAGCCCAAACCCTCAACTTCGTCCTGAAGCCCTAAACCCTAAACCCGAAGGGCTGAAGCCCAACCTCCTGTAAACAGTGGCGAGACGCAGGTAGGGTTCAGGGTTTACCCAGAGCCCAATACCCCTTACTTCAGGAATATACCCTAAATCATAATATTAAGGCCCCTATAACTTAAGGTATATTCCTTATTTGAGGGGTATTGGGCTCTCCGGGTAGGGCTACAAGGGGATCCGGGGTTGAGGGTGTTTCGTGCTTCTTAGCATCGCGATCTCAAAGAGGTTCGCGGTCTCGTGCGCAAGGCGTTTTAGCTAACGTGGCTGCCAGACACCCGGGTCAGAGATCTTAAACACAGCAAGCTGGGATTCAGGGTTGCGGGCTTGATGATTTAAGGGGCAGTCGGTACTCGTGGGTCTTATGTTTTCTGCGATGGCTCGACGCTGTTTTCACTTATCCACCTCTTCTTGGCTGACTGTCTGTTCTTGGTATAAATGGGTTCGGTAGCGCCAACAACATTGTTATCCTTCGCTGCAGTTTTTCCTTGGTCGCAACAACAACATGCCAAATTGAGCTATGTCAGGGGTTGAGACCAACCCTAATCCTAAACTCCGAAGCCGAGAACCTATGTGAACCTGAAAGAAGCAGGTTCACATCGTCACAAAGTTTCAAAGCCGCAAGGCTGCCCCAAAATCCAAATGAACAGCTCAGGTTAGTAGGTGGGAGGAAAGGTGCAATATAGGGCCTAGTACAGTGATCCCAACAGACCTAAACCGTGAATAGTGTGAAATAACCAGTCTGCAAGCCCAGCGGCCCCCCACCCATCCTGCAGGCTGTTGACTGAGACCGTCGGCTTTAGGATGACAGCAAACCACTACCACCACCGCCAACACAACACCAAACATGACAAGCAGACGACGAATCATCGAACTACAACGTGTCAAAAGCAAGGAGAATGGCTATAAAAAGAACAATAGCAAAACGACAAGAACCACAACTAAGTTGCAACCAGAAACACAACCAAAGCCGACGCTTTACGGAAGTGCTGTCTGACAAGGAAGCAACAGTGTCCATGAAGTCGGGCCTTCTCTAGACACTAGGGCTTAAGGTCCAAAGTTCAGAGTTCAGAGTGTGCGGTTTAGGAGTTTAGGGTTTGGGTGCATGGCCGTCAGAAGGTCATGCCGTCCAGCCCATCGACATATATGAACCACGCAGCTACTTTTTTTGAGTATTGGAGTTTCTGACAATCCGGGGTGGCTTATCCATGGGGTCCTGCGAACAGGGTCTGATTTTCGGTGGTTGCGCATTTTCGGAAGCTCTCTTGGCTAGGGCACAACAAGTCTACAACTCTGCTCTCCGATTTTTTCCGAGCGCTTCCGAAGATTCCGGCTGGACATCTCAACTCAGCAACACATCCGAAGCCCAAACCCCCAACAAGTACGACACTGAGTCCAAACACTGACTGCTGGCAGACTTGGGGGCTGAGCTGAACCCAATGCCAACATGCTCCACGTCCTCGCACTTCACGATTTTTGATGACCATGTTCCCATTGCGGAAGCCTGGGTGACAAGAGCCAATCACTCAAGAGCAAAACCAAGCTTGCAACGACATGCGCTGCAGCAACAACAGTCATTTCAACGGCATCGACTTCGCAAGCAACAATGCCAAGCAGCAACAGCCCAAACATCAACTCGACGAGCAACAGAAACGGGCTGCAAACCAACGATAAGCTGCACAATCTTGTATCAGAAACATCAACGAAAGTGACGTCGACGACTACAATCACGACAGCACTAAACACCACCTTCCTCCCTCTTGCAGATGGCCTTGTGCCATTGTAGCTCGCATTCCAAGTTGGCCAATAAGCTTGTCTGTGGCACAACCTTCCGGCACTTCCGGGATAGTTTTACGCCTCTTGTGAAGATACTTAGCTTAAGCCGCCATAATAGGAATAAGACCAAATATGCATACACGTATGTGCATACGTATATACAGATAGATAGATAGATAGATAGATAGATAGATAGATTAGGTGTATATATATATATATGTATATATATATATGTATATAAATACAGTGTAATATATACATATGTATGTATATATACATACACATAGTGACATAGTAGTAATATGCTTTATGAGCGAGTGTCATGATTATGATACCTTAAACTAAGTTCATCAACAAGAACCTTGAGAAAGGGGTTTAGGGGTATGCGGCGAACCCTGCTGCCAAAGCCGAAACCCTGTTCATGGGTGGTCCTGCACTGCAAGACGAGTACTGGCCTTCTTCGTGGCTGTCTTTTTTGTCGAGGAGGGGGACGGAAAGCGGAATTTTACGTCCAGTCTCCATTGTTGCTGCTGTTGTGGTCATCCTCTTTCATTTCATCAGATCTTAACCATCACATTCTTCTAGCGGAAAGAAGATTGGGGGAGTCATGCTTAAACACTTGGGCTCGTGGACCCCTATAGTACCCTTGTGGTAAATCTTAGAGATAAGTTGCAAGAACCCTTGGCCTTAAAGGAACCCTTAAACCCTGAACCCTAAACTCAAAGTTTCTAGGGCACGATGCACGGCCCTGGCCCTAGTTTAACTTTTAGGTAGCAGAATAGACCCCCAGGGTTCAGTGGACTGTGATTATGATGAGGAAAATGGCGAGTAGGGCAGTATTACTCACCATTTAGGCTTCTATAAGGGGCCCCAAAACACGAAACCACACATCTGTACTCTCCTTGAGTAGCCTAAAGTATCCTAACCCCTTACCTTTATCCTAAACGTTTATTATCCCGAACTCTAGAGGTTGACCCTGTAGGCAATCTCAAAACATTTATGGAAGACCCCTCGTACCCCCAAACAAACCCCCACGCCCCAAACCCTCTACCCTAAAAGCCCTAAACCCTTAACCCTAAACCCTAAACCCTAAACCCTAAAACCGAAACCCTAAACCCTAAACCCTAAACCCCAAAACCCAAACCCCAAAACCCTAAACCCTTAACCCTATATCTTGAAACC